AGTAAACGGTAACCATCGAATGCATCAAAAAAACATTGTTCATTTATGCGACACCTTTACTCAATCTATTCTTTTATCTGGACTTAGCTATTCATTATCCTGGATGCTTGAATCTTTTGAAACCGGTTAATCATTAATTATTCTTTACCCCTGCCCAGGGACGGATTTTGTCTTGTTTATGCTGACTTCAAACTAAAGCTTATCTAAACTCTTGTTCACAGTCGCTCTCCTTTCTTTTTAACCTCCCCTTTCGTTCCCAGCTTTTTTTCTGCGCTTATCCTTCTTATCTCCAGAAAAGCTTGTGGAGGAGACGGCATCACAGCTTTGTATTCCTTTTGCTATCTTAGGGGTTGATCTGGCGGACAACAACAGCCTTGAAAAGGAGTCAACACAGAAACAAGTCTTTAAGCGGTGTGCACTCGTTCGTGTGCCTTCATCGCGCCAAAGAAGATGGCATGGCATATCTACATCATCGGATTTTTCTACACCATTTTCATTCTAGTCAGCTTGGTTGGTAATGGAGGTTTTCTTGTGCTGTTCGTACTCCTTCGGAAAGTTCGCCAAGCGGTTGGTATGTTCATACTCAGTCTTGCTGTGGCGGATTTGATATTCCCGCTGATCGTTATGCCCATCCACTTCGACTACTTGATCTCAGGAACTTGGCAAAGAGGGACGTCGCTCTGCCAGTTAAGAATATTTGCCTACTTGGTGGCGGCGTCTGCGTCCGTTCTGAGTTACTGCGGCGTGACGGTAGAGCGTTACATCCGAATCATTTTCCCACTGCGTTACAGAGCCGTTGAAAACGCCAAGTGCGTTTTTGCAGCAGTTGCACTGTTGTGGTTGTATGCTCTAAGCTCATCGTCGTTCATCTTTACTGACTTTTTAGATGAGTCTCATCATGATACTCCGCCAAGAGGAGTTTGTAGCCATGCTTTGCCGAGGAGACTTTTTCTTACACTTTTTTTGCTGACATATTGCGTGCCTTTGGCCGTGATACTTTTTATCTACTTCCATATCCTCCAAATCTCTCGAAAGCAACGCAGAAAGATTGTCCCGGTCAATGGAAACCATCATACTCCAAACAAAAAAGCTAGGCAGTCTGTAATGGTTTTATTGCTGTTATTCCACTTTCTAGTCTGCTGGCTTCCTATCTCAGTCTACACTCTCGTATTGAAAACGAATCTGGCTTCTGAGCTCTCTTGGCCCAACTGGACTTGGTATCAATTTTTATCTCTCTTGACCTTCTTGAACTCTGTCTTAAACCCCTTCATATACGGGTACAGCAATAGTCACTTTAAAGCTGTCCTGAGAAATTATATTTCAAGAAGACGCTCCAGAGTGTGTTCTATCGCAACCCAGCCTTCTGCTTTTGTTCTTAGATCTCAGATAACGTCAAAACAAGCTTTAGAAACACATAGCTGAACCAAAGGGGACCCGAACACTTTATCAGTAATAGAAATAAATTTATTGTTATTTACCTGTGTTCCTGTGTCTTTTTGAGTCGTTTAGACGGGATTTGAATGAAGCGAAGGCAGTTTACATTTCCGAATATTTAATATCTCTCATCTGCCCAGCGACCCTGGCGAATGTTTTAAATTTTGTGTTTGTATTTGTTTACATTGCTCGAATTTACATCTTGTGCAGTTTCACAAATGAAAAAGGTGAATTAACCATTCTGACTACAAAACCCGGCCTTTTAGTGAGTTACACAACACGGAAAGTTTGTTTTCTGACGACCAATTATGGCTACAACGAATTTGCCGAGCTAAAAATTGGAAAATTTATTTTCTGACCACAGATCTAAGGATCATCATGGCCATCAATGTCTCCTTCTTATAACGTGTAGTAGCAGTCAACGAAAACCCACCAAATCGCTCAAATTCGCCATTTTGAGCCGCAGAAACGACAGCACACAACAACTGAGGTAGATTTACGTTTATTTTGAGCTTTAACATGGACATTACTCGATATCAGTTTACGATATTAAGACTCTTTCATATTCCTATGCATTTCTTTATATTTCGAACATACAAACAGACACGCCGTTTGTATGGGTGCCCTGTGGTCAAACACTGTCTTTCGTGTTTGATATATTACATGAATGTCGAACATTTCAAAATCGTCAATAATATTCAGGCTGGATTAGGACTTTCCACAAATATCACGTATTAAAAGTCTGCTAACCGTCTTTCCGGAAATTCTCAGAAATTAAATCTTCTAAATATTCGAAAGAAACTGTCTAAATATCACTTATTTCTTTGGTAAAAATACTCCAATTTTGAATCACTTAGGCCAAAATTTTCAAAATTTTCTTGCAGTAGTAGGAGTGAGGACAGTGAGGAAAGAAGATTCAGGCACTTCGACGTTACTGGCACCGCCGTTGTGAAACATTGCTGCTGTAGCGCGTTTAGTGATGTGGAATACATTTTTCGAGAGGAAAATCGCTGAGCTGGATTGTTTCTGGTATAGATCTGAGCATTGTTTTAACAAAATAGCGAGGAAAACACAGGGCTTAGCCGCCAAAAAAAGTTGTGAATGTTTCTTAATATATATCCCTACTTCTCCAAATACCTTAATATTCTCTTAGTATCTCGGAAAATTCTAAATATCCCAATAAATATCCGGATATTTGTGGAAAGGCCCAGCTAGAATTAGGCAGTCTCCGCGCAAGCACAAGCAAACGAAACATATGCACCAACACAGAAAAATCAAACGAGCGCGCAAACGTGGGACCGATGTGGAATTTTAAGCGAGATTTCTTTCTGCCAGTGTACGACACGAGGTCCAATTACCAATTTATTTGTATCAATAACAAATTCTGATTACGAAATCTTGAAAAGCGTCTTTTCAGCCTAAAAGTCAGTAGTGTTTTCCATAGCTTTAAACGAAACGGAAGCAATAACTAGAAAAGTAACTGACGTGCAAAAAGCTTAGGTGACAATCACAAGTATTCAGGGACAAAACGTTGCGTTGGATACCCGTAATTAGACACCCACGAGATCGCGCTCCAATTACGTGATCGAGAAGTTTGTCATAAGTAGATGTCAAGTGCCTAAACTGCGTGGCAATAGGCGCTTATTTATCAGCACGGTCTTGCGTCTGAAAATGTTGCCTTCATCAAAACCTCCTCGTGCCTCATTCAGAGAACCCCAAATGGCCTTTCGGAACATCCCAGGTGAAAAACAACTACTGTTTATAAATGGCAATAGCATGTAGGTTCACTTCCTAATGTACAAAATCAAACTGTAAACCTTCCGTGCACCAGGACAGATGTTTTTGCAGATTACCATATCTTCAGCTCTTGTTTCCTCAATAAAACCTCTATCAATGTTTTCTAGCTTGTCACAACGTCTGACGAAGACCGGAAAAACGAGCTCTGGTGGCAAAGCCTCCAATTTTACCGATGTTTACCCACGTTACCGTCTTTGATAATTGGTGGGCGAAAATCAAGTCATGTTTTTAACTCAACAGCTTGTAAAATCCATTTAATCGCAATAACTAGCTCAGTAGAATTAATGTAAAACTAACTGCATGAGCGAAGTGTTTTGCATTTAGGGCAAGATAACAATTATCACTGTGAAGATAACGGTCCATAACGAACTAAACGTTTATTTCTCATTTCACGCCGAAAAAAAAGTTGGGGTACTCACGGTTCACCTTTCACGGTTTACATTTCACATTTCACGGAAAAACGTGAGAACATCCATTAATCCCGAAAAATATCCTTTAGCGCCAGCTGCGTAGAATTGCAATCATTACTAGTAAAGGAGGATTTGGGCAAACGGACTTTAATTTTCGCTACCTTCATCGTCAAACTGATCCCGCAGTGTTCTAGTGAACGGACTAATTCATCCCAGTCCCGGGTAGAGGTTTTCATGTCACTGAGCTTTAGCGAGGTGCAAAGTCATAGATAAACAAAATGTTGTTGACTCACCGATTGAATGCGTTTCCTTTCTTTTAAATGATTTTTCTCTCTTTCCAAGACTAGTTTCTTGCTTAAAGCACTTTGCTGCCGGCCAAATACTCTAAGTTTACTCGCCGGCCGTAAGACAAAAAACACCAGGTGATAAAAAACAAAAGCGAAATTAAACCCGAGTGCTGTCGGTGCCTAAAGCTGACAGCACCAACTGTATACTTTTGTTTCAAATATGACTTTTACTCTCGCAAAAAGAAACTGAGATACAATAAAAACGAAAACAAAAAGCAACTCAAAGTTGTTAATGGCGATCACATTTCAATCAGCTAAAACCGATTTTCTAGTGCTCTTTGTCTTCTCTTGCATTTCAAGTGACTTGTAATGTCAGAACCTGGGAATTATTTTGTGGCTTAACAATGCGAAACATATGATCTCCCTCAGTCCTCAGACATTTAATTTAGTTTCAGTTTAAATTATGAGCGTAACATTGTGTCCCAGCACGTTTATACTGACCTGTATGTAGCGGTGACTCTATGGCAATTAAAGATACTTCATTTGTTAACTAACAAGTCATGATAAACACGATGAAGTATATTTGTTTTTATTTTCGACAGTGTTTCTCGCATGTACGTACGTAAGGTAAATCAACTCGTTAAGACCTCACTTTTGAGAGGAACGAAATTCTTCCCTTAACAATTAGTTCAATCTGTTTTTATATCTTGTGAAATATTTACAGTGACTATTTAAACACGTCAGTTTTTATACTAAAAAAACAACTCTCGACTGTTCATTCTTCGACCCAGTGGTAAAACAAAATTGTTCTGTTAGCACTGCTCGCAAAGATGGTATAACATTGTCAAGGAGTTCACCCGATTTTTGATAACAAAGCCTTTTCTTTAATTTCGCTCTTCAACCATTTGCGAAAATCGGCAAACCCAGTGAAAGCTTAACTTCTCGTAGTTGTTTCAGTGTGTTCACCAGCAACACCATATTAGACCGTATAACGTTACCGGGCGAAATCAGTTGCGAACTTCTCAGACATATCAGGTTTTTTCGGGCTGACTCTTCGCGGCCCTTTTTGGCCGGTTCAAGAGCATTGCAAGTTGGAGAGAACAAACTCCTCATCATTAAAGCTACCACTGGGAGCTACAAGGTTCGCGAAAGAAAAAAAACTTAGGTAAACTTAGCTATTTTTCTTTTTCAAACAACCTGCCTTTTAAGAACAACTGGTAGCTGATGTCAAAGCGTGGGAAGAAACAGTTTCCTGGATGTTCCACGCTTAAACGGATCGTTTAAGCCTCTTTGTACCGTGCGTTCTTCCGGATCTGTTTTGTTATAAGAAGGTAATAAATGTTACAATGAAACGTTGGTGAAAAAACTTTGTGATCTAGAGAAAAACTGCGACAGGTAAAACGAAACTTCTGGACAGTGTTAACAGCTTCACAGTCCGGAAACGCTTGCAAATTTCTTTTCGGATTTACATCTGTCATAAGCCGGATCGATCAGAGGCTAAGAAATAAAACCAGCAAACCTGAATTCAGCATGGCTAAGTACTTATCAGTTGTTATGGAAATAACAGGATTTAATAATCTTTTAAGATTTTTGAGCAGCACCAAACTGAACAAGACCGAGACGCGACGTGAATTTTCGTGGATCCAGTCGATGAAAAACTATCATATTCAGCAATGGTCAGCAATAGCTGCGAGTTCAAAAAGGTCACGTCAAGATTATTCCTCGAATCGTAAATCGCTTCTCAGCACGGCTGATTTCTGGCCGGCCCAGAGCCTGCTCAGGCTTCTACTGTGTTAAATTGTAAACAAACACAGCTTTTGTGCTACGCGCACCTGTCCGCTCATAAGTTGTCAAAATATAGAGCTAGATTAGGTACATTTCTTCCATATTTCTGCGAAGGAAAATCTCCTTTAGTTGTTCGGTAACGTTGATCAACGCAGGCTCATTTTCGAGACAGACGCCGACCCTTCGACCTTTGCGCTTTCCTTTCAGAAACAATAGAGTTGTAGCGCTTGGTTTCCTCTCTCCAGTTTCGTTATCCTGACTCTCAGATCGCAGTTTCTTTTTCGTGGAAGCGTTCTTTTCCACTGTCGAGCGCGAGTTATCCGTGTTTGAATTCCCACTTTTCCTATTATCTGGAGGTTTTCGCGCGACCTCCCATCTTTGTTTGTCATCATTTCGTAAGCTATTATCCACAGCGGATTTACTAGAATCTGTTAAGTTGTTGTCCCATTTCTCGCCACGTGAAGCTCTATCTTGAACCGATTTGCCCTGCGTTTCACTGGCGAGCGGTTCTTTAATTTTCTGAATCGGAGGTAGTACAGCGTATGATTGTGGAAAGTGGTGTCCCAGAGGCGCGAACTCAAGCTTCGATTCAGTGTTCTTTTCATTTAAGATCGTCGCTTTATAATCGCGTCGCGGCTGAGTCGCCGCGGTCGATAAATTGCGACTAACATGCGGACTTCTGTATCGCCCGGGGAATGGGTCTTTAGGGACGTGAATAACCGTCCGTGGTGGTTTGATTGGCGATCGATGATTCGGCAACGCAGCCGAAGAAAGTCTTTGCTCTTGTGACTGTCGCCACGTTTGTCTTGTTGTTGGCGGTTGCCGAAGAATGTTCGCCGCTGGAACAGCTCCCTGAATCGGCGGCAGTTTAAAATTTCGACTAGAGTTCAATGACTTTTCCATTATCGGTCTTGAGATCCATTCGTACTCGAGCCAACATTAACAACACCGTGTATCCGCGTGCATCTATCTGCCAAACAGTCAAAATGACTCACGGTGAATTTGTGTGAAGTTAGCGAGGTGACATATGCTAGCCGAACGACCACACAACCTAGTTCATCGATTAATAACACCGCTCTCGTGTTTCTATCTCCGTCCTAGCGACGGACGCGAGTGAAACAACTCATTTTCCCATGCAGCTATACTTTCGAAATTTTCCGCTGCATCTGTTTTCCGTTTATATACGCGTAGCCTGGGGAGATTGCTAATTTCACATTTTCGACGAGCATGCGAGTGCGCAGGGCATGCTAGCAAAACTCTCAATCACACGCGCGCGGTTATTGAGTAGCGACTGTCGCCGCTTCTGTGCGTGCATTTTCCAATATTTTCTTTTCCTACACCAGATAACAGCAAATTATATCAATTTACTTATCGATAGAATAATTATGCAAATTTATAAATTGAAGAACACCAGCCGCGAGGATAGGCGCAACGCGAAAGGTATATGGAGTTAAATTGGAGTGTAAGATGACTTCAAGAAACTGACGTCGATATATTTTTAGATCAATAAGAAATGCGTAAAAGCGGCTAGTGGAAACCTTTCACAAAAACAGGTAGTTGATTGGCACATGGGATTTTCTTATATCCTCTTTCATGTGAAAATTAATATGTCGTATTGACTCGACAATTCACAAAGTAATAAAATACTGCCATATATACCACGATTGTCTTTGGGGCAAAAATAATTTAATGTGCCTTGCTTCTTATCTTTTCGATCTCCGCTTGAAATTTGTTTATGGCGCTTATTCCTTTTTTGCCATTTCCGTATTTTTATCATGTTTAGTTTTTCACCTTTTCAGGAAGAAAATTTGCGCATGACAAAAAACACATGTCTATATGCGACTACTTTGAAAACTGCGCTAGAAATTAAACTAGTGCCGGGAAGACAATCTGATAATGCAGCATATTAACTTTGAACTGATATGCAGTTTAAAATTATCGACATCAGAAAATAGAATAAGGCATGCTGTTAGCAGGTGCAATCAGAATTTCGAAGTTATCGGCTCAATTGTATGACCACATGAGGTCTGGTTCAACCGAATGGAATGTTTAAAACCCAGTATAGCATAGTGATATATTACTTTCTTTGCTCGAGTTGCAATTTGCAATGACAAATGTCTAATAATGTAATGTAATAACCCGAAAGCGGAAATGCTTGAGTAAATGTTGTTTTGAAACTAAGCTTATCAATACTCTTCCCGAATCGCTAAATTATACATACAAGTCTGGCCATTTAAGAGCTCGCTGACGTATACAGAAACAGTCGCCGAAAACAAAGCAAGTTTATCTTTTACTAAGTTTTAATTTTGGCTTAGCACTGATGTTCAACATTGGTTACAATTTGGTTTTTTCTTTTAGGAGTTTACTGCTTGTTTCCCTTTTCGCCAGTGTAACCGCTTTAAACAGCGATCATGCAATATTAAAAGCGGTGTCTGAAAACAGGGTCGTCAACTGATCTCTGTTAGTAGTTGGCACTGCCGCTAAATATGCTGAAAAGAAATCTGATTATCGCCAAGTGAATTGCAAATTATGGTAACTACAGAAAGGTGAGTCAACTAAATAATCAAATGACATTTTCCTCTTGCCAAGATATCAGTGACAATTTGACACAAATTTGCTTAAAAAGTAAAAACTAAGTTATTACAACTTGACAAATATTTAATTTTAATTTGTACGATAGATGTCGCGTTTAGAAGCAATATCTTAAGAAATGGTGCTATATTCATGCATCGATCGTGTATCAATTTAGCGGTAAATATGAACCAAACAGAGCGAAGAAAAAAACGATCTGTACAGCTTTACCGCGACGAGTAGACATGCGTGGGTTTACCTGAGTACATGGCAAGAGATTGAAGTTTTTACGTTCTTGCGGTTCAATTGACTCCGACCTACGTGGTTTTAATTTAACTGGATTGTCTTGTTGAAGTAAATGAAAGCGCAAAACCGCATATTTATTGAACCAAGCAAGCCATACAGCTGCTTGAAGTGAGACTAATTTCAGAAACTAAAATTGAATGAGAGAGATGCAAAATTCATTAGTTGTCACAAGTACGTGGCAGGAGTGGAACCCAGGGCCTTTCATGCACAGGCCATGCCAAGTGCTCCAACCACACTGGACCAACAGGAGACTCGTTATTTTTAGTATGTGAACATGGATCGCTATGAATCTTTGTGTGACCAGAAATCTTATGTATATAGATTTCCTCGATCTCTTCATAAAGGTGAAACCAACGAAAAACCAGAGAAAACCAACGAGAAGTAACAGATGTTTTCCGAAACCTGAATCAATAAAATCTTGATTTATAAATAGTAACGGCTCAACAAAACAACCAGGCTGAGATCGAAACAGAAATGTAAGACATAAAGCTGGGGAACAAACTTTTATATATATTTGCCCGATCTTTTACGGTATACAAAACCTTTTGGGGATAGAAAAAAATGTCCAAAACGCAACAGGACCTTAACATTTTAGAGTCTTCAGTTTTAATGTGAATATAGGCCCTGTTATTTGGTCCAAACTCGACAAATCTATTCGATCTTCTGAATCATTGCACACTTTTAAGAAGCGCATCAAATTGGTTGATTTCACAAGCCTGCTGGACAGTACTTGTAGAGACTGTTCTTTATGTAACAACTAACACTTGACCTTACTGCATGACTCATTGTTTCAGTGTTTTATATATATATTTTAAAACACTAACATACGTACATGTATTTCATATTTTATTAACCCCATTTAGTATACATTTTGACACGTTAATAAAGTTCTTGTCTTATCTTATCCTGACAGAAAATGTATGTTGGGCTAGAAAAACTCTAAATCACCGAAGTTCATTTGTCTCTAAGGTGAACCTCGCCTACATAGTCGGTTGTAGGGCCCACGCCAAACACTTGCACCGGTTTTCAATTTTTTTCTGGGCCTATAGTTTTAACGAGTAAAGCTTAATATTTACTAGCCAAAATCAATTCAATTTGACCTTCTTAGCGATATACATGAACAAGACTCACTGGCTAGACAGCCACTTGCACAGGCCAGTGAACTTGATCCGCATGTGGGTTTCCTGTGCCTTCACAACAATTTTGGACTGGGTACGAACAACATTTCCTCAGAGCACTTCAGCTGAAGTGAGTGAACGCTGCAATATTATTTACAGTCTTCATGGCTGAAGCAACAGTGAATACGGCTGAAAGCCCTGTGGAAACCCCAACGTCCTTAGAAGACAAGGAAAAAGCATCGAGCGAGGGTCAGTGAATTTTATTTTGAATAAGGATCGATTCTTCCGCGCGCCGTGCAGCTGCTCAAAACAGCCACCAGCTTTCGCTACTAACCACATTTGATTTTGTGCTTTCTTTATTTTAAGAATGCCTTCTTCTTCTCTTTACAGAATTTACCGAAGATGAGGTAGTTCAAACGGTCGAAGAACTCGATTACAACCCCGATTGCCCGGTTTGTTTGCAACCGTGTTTCTACCCAGTGAAGCTTCCATGTGGCCATATCTTCTGCTTTTTGTGCATTAAAGGAGTCGTTTTGCGCAGCCGAAAATGCGCTTTATGCCGTCATTCTCTTGCTGCAGACTACCTTGAGAATCCGACACTAATTAAAGTCGTAGACAAAGCGAATAAAGAGGAAAAAGCGACGAAAACAAAGGAGAAAACTGACGATGAAACAGACGCGGACGACTTTGTTTGGTATTATGAAGGTCGAAATGGATGGTGGTCGTACGATGAGAAGACTTCACTCGAGGTGGAAAAAGCTTTCAAAAGCGGACAGAGATCTTGTACACTTCTCATCGCAGGGTTTCTCTACGTGGTAGATTTTGAAAATATGTTTCAAACACGCAAGAATGAACCAGGTAGAAGGAGAAGAATCAAAAGAGATAAGAAAGATGTGGAAAGCAAAGGTGTCGCTGGAATCCGCATTCCTGCTTCATCAAGATCAATTTCAACCTCTCCTACTCAAACAGTAGATTCCACAGCAAGTGATAAGAGAGATAATGGCGAAAACCGATCCGAAACTGGACATTCCACGCTAGAAGAGACCACAAATGTTGATACCACACAACCGCAGACATCAAGAGAGTCAACCGCACAACAAGCTGGAGAACAGTCAGGCGCCGATGAGATAACCACTAGGTTAGAAGAGGCATCTCTTTAAGGATTCTTTATGACAACCGACTGCCTTGCTATCTTGGTAAGGAAAATTTAGACTGCTGAAGTGTTTCAGAAACACACCAGGCATGCAAGGGACTGGTTGAACTCTCTGGCTGTATTGAAGAAACACGCTACCTCACCCCCAGGGATCATTTGCGGACCCGTACAGATCAGTTATCATGAGATTACTTAAATACCAAAATAACAACAAACAACAAGGGAAGCAAAAAATTTACGTTACTTTTAAAGAGTACACGACGTGAATAGAAAAACTCTTTGGCATCAAACATTTTTTGGCAAGTTGAGAGAAGATATCTACAATGTCATGAGACTTAACATTTGTATTTTGTTCAGGCTGCAGTGATTTGGGGAATATCACCGTAATCATTGTGCAGTTTTAGGATACCTATCAGAAAGGAATGAAGTTTAGCTTTGAACTCTTTTTTAGGAAGCTCTCTTGAAGATGTTAGCGCTGGTATCTCATTCTCATTTGTTAACACAATTTGTGTTTCAAAGCCATTTATTTGTAAATGCGATCAGTATGTCCTTGTTTTACATCACCGGGATAATTTCCTTAACACCTTCAAAGACAGTCACGACAAAACCACTGGTCACATTCTTTACAAAAGGGCAACCAAAACGCAAGAGAGCTTTCTTTGCATAAGCTAAGTCAAGTACAAGTTCTTCAGAGACCACATGTCTCCTTTTTGTGTTATGCCTAAACAAGTATGAGCGAAACCAACCGCTAATCCGTCAACTCCAGGTAAGCCACTCTCGCCTTCACGGCCCACAGGACCCTATGAAGTAACAGCCACAATGTCATTTCTCATACCTAGAAACAACTATGGTGATTAATTACATGTCATCCCATACCTTCATCTTTGAAAAAACATAAAGCGATGAAAAAGTTAATTTTTGGTAATTGCCACCCATTTGCCCCAACACTGTTAATATAAACCCATTTAAGGCCAGCAAGAGTTCATGGAGAGTTACATTTTGAACGCTAGGCCTTCGTCGGAAGCACGAAACGTCAGCTTCATGCAAAAACTCATTACAGCGGTTAATAAACAGTAAACTTGCAGTTGATGAATAACTAAGCGTTTTACTTGCCTGACGAACGGCCCAAAAGTTTATTTAGAAACCAATACCTTTGTCAAAATTACACCTGCCTAAGGGCTCAAGGTATCACAAACGTTTGGATAAAATACCATGACATTATTAGCCAATCACACGTGTAGTGTGATTACAATTTTAATATATTTACCGGTGCGCCAGTCGGGCCTTGCTCTCCTCCGGGCCCACGTTCACCCTAAAAAATAAATTTACCATTTGATTAATTGATAAGATGCAATGTCATCAAAAGTAGGTCCTAACCAATGTCTGAGGTGTACAGGTGCGTGTAGTATTGGCCACTTAAGAGACAAAAGGAATTCTAGAGGAAGTCTCGTCCTGCAGTCACTTGTGGGACCCCCAGTTCTTCTCATCTTTTGTTTTTGTAACCTAAATCCCAACCCTAACCTAACTCTTTACAACTTGATACTTTCAGGGCAACATTTCAACCTAATCGTACCTTTTGGTACACTTACACGGTATATCAAGCGAGTTTGGTTGAGAAAAGGTCCGCATTTTGGTGAGACGTAGTTGGGCCAAAATAAACATGGCGAGACCAAACAAGCCTGATATGCTGCCAAAGCAAACCAATAAGGGTACGATTACGTATTTACAATAATTGCTACTTTAGGTAAAGTTAAGCACTAACATCCAAAGGAATAAACCAAAAAAATACTGACCACTTCCTAACCTTGACAATATCATTCTTTAATATGACACCTTTGGGTTAATACCAATAATCATTAAACTTGAACATGGAAATAGCAGTTACTTCATGTATTTAGGATTTTCAACAACGCTGTCTTATAAAAGGCTTCTTAAGATCAAATCAGTCAACTGTTAGTAGTACACTAAGCAAGAAAACAAGTTTACCCGTAATCCAGGTGTACCATCTTTGCCTCGTGTTCCAGGAAATCCCTAAGTGTAAGAACAAGCATATCAAAAAAGACCACAAACACTAGAACTGGTTAAACCAGTGATCACATTCCCACAAAATAATAAAAATATAGAGAAAGGAGTAAGTTTTTTTAAAAAGGGAGAGGCTGAAATTAGTCTTTTAAAGTTAGGAATCATTTCACATCTTAGGCCACTAGTAATACACACACCAGGTAGAACGATGTACGTACGATTCAAGTCTCGTATGAATGTTGCGTGTTCCCATTGGGATTTTGCAATTCCCCAAGTACATTTTAACAGTTATGGGGCAGCTTTTCAAACAACATTTGAAAACCAAATTTTGCTATTGGGAGCTATTTACAAGGCTTTGAAAGAGGCGCAGTTTCTTGTTCATATTGCGGTGGCTAAAACATGGAATTGCTGACATCTAAAAAAGACAGAGAAAATTTTCCCTTGAATAAAAGGTGCGTGTAGCGTTCTCGACACTACTGCTAGTGATCTCCAGATTGTTGGAGCGCTGTCACATATTCTAGATGGAAATTAGGAATAATCTTTTACACAGAATTTCTCCAAAAGCATGGACTTCATAATTGATGTAATTGCCACTTGTGACCAAGTTGCCAATCGTCAAAAAGATCTTGTGGTTGGCATCGGTAGTTTCATGATGAATAATTCATGAACTCTGATTAAAGACGTTAACTGGTGAATAATAACACAGGTTGAGCATATAAATTGGTGTTATAAAAGCAACAAGGAAGAAATGTCAAACGAATACACCAAACACCAAGAGGAATGAGCAGATTTCCTCCATACGAAGTTACTTTTAATTAATAAGATATGGTAACCATTGTAACTTACGGGATTTCCTACTCTGCCAGGTGCACCAGGGGGTCCTTGGTTTCCAGGGGGTCCCTTAAAAGAAAAATAAATTATCATAATTATGTAATTATAAGTGTAATTATAAATGTTTTTTGGCACAAGACACTAATTTGATAAATGTCAAACATCCCAGTTAATACCACAGTTGACTGGAAAAAGCTGCACATATGAAAATGCGAGTCTTTAAACAAATCCGTGAATCAGAGGAGCACAGCACAATGCTTTCCAGCACCTCTAATTTGCTTGCTTTTGATAGCATAAAGCAACTTGCAAATAAAATGTTACCATAAGATTTCTGTGTTTCTGTGCCTAAACCTTGCTAGGTATAAACACAGGATCTTTGTCCAAACAAATCGTACAAATTGTCAAACTAACTCCAATATGTGCCTGGGATATAAATTGTGATGTCCACATATCTAAGATTTGTATTGGCATCTTATTATTTCTCCACAAGACTATTTGAATGCAGCGGTGTTAAAATAAACTTCAACGACGTTTTTATCAATTAGGCGATCATACAATGTACCTAAGACGACTTACAAAATCGGATGAAAATTGTTGGAGTTAGCAAGCCATACAATAATACTACAAATTACCACAACAAAATTAAACGAAATTGCTTAATTCCAATCAATTTCTTGCATAGTTTTAAGTTGATTCCGGATTTAACAGGGGAAAATAGTAAAAAAAAATGTTAATAGCGTTAAAAAATCCTGGTGGCTTATATTTGTCTGGTAGTGGAAACAATTCCTGCAAAAACTAATTATTTGCTAAGCAACTTAAGGTTAAATTCAAGCCCTGCCACACACCGCAGCTCCTTGGCTTCCTTGCATTCCCATATCTCCTCTGTCACCTTGTCTACCCTAGAGAGGAATCAAAGAATCACAGGATTATTCTCCACGCCATTCATTGGTGTATGCGTACATGTTGACATTCATAAAACATTACGTGCTATGAGATTGACAAATCAAATTGCTCATATGTTACAGGAATGGAACTAAAGTAATGGATGAAATGTTTTTCCCGCCGGCTGAGCTTGTGAAAGAGGCAGGAAACGAAGTTCTCTCACACTGAATGGGGACCTGGGTACGAACCAGGATGTCAGTTTCACGCTCCGTCATGTGATTCAGTTTTTCTTTTCTTGCCGGAGAGTGCAACAGTTTTCCCACCCTCCCACCCCTCAGTGAGTTCTTGCCTAAAGTTTATAGAAGTGTATCACCATTTGGGTAGTTTTTACCTGTTGTTGACTCCGATTCTGTTATCGTTGTGATGTTGATAGAAATGTCAATTAAGTGCTGTTGCATTGTCATGTGGCAGACAAATGGCATTCAGTGTGTGAGAACAACACTTAGTCATTATTAAATTGGAAATGTTGAAATTACCGCAAGTCCTGGGGCGCCTGGTTTTCCAGGTTCACCTGTGGCACCTCGTTCACCCTAATAAAGAAACAGTAACAGAAGCAGTTCATCACCTGAGGAGTTTAATAGTGTTGAGATGATGACCTATAAACAGACACCCTAAGAACTAGAAAGCGACACGTGTATGCCTAGGAATGAGTCTTCATAGTTTAAAGACATGGTTTGCGAGACTGCGAGACTGCGAGTAACTGTCTCCTTATGCCAGGTGTATATAGAATATATACACCTGACATAAAATGAATTCTATTACGAAACAAAAACTCCATAACAATAATTTAAATCTGACCCGACAAACAATCTCAAAGTTAGCCTGTTCAGTAGTAACACACATAATTAACAAAGCCATGCCTCAAATAACAGAAAAAGTAATTTGACATCAGTTACCTTGTTTCCCATGTCTCCAGGTAATCCCCGATTTCCTTCTCTTCCAGGATTACCCTGCAATTACAAGGTTTTGCCAACATTCCTAATCACTAAAACATGTCACTCACAGAGCTTGGCAAAATAACTGTGGTACAGTTCATTACTGGGCATTATGGCATTTAAGTGCTATGAATTTTTTGAGATTTTGTTACCACCTGATATGAGTGACAGACTGATACTCCAACACCAACCCATTTCATGTGCATCTTTGAATTTTTATTTCAGTATTTAATTAAAATGTTTCTTTTTCCATTGCGAAGCACATAATTACACTTATTTACTTTCAATGCGTATTACTTACGCCACAAACAACTCTCTACTACAGTACTTTCATTTATTCACTTACTTACAAGGTGGGTTACTTACGCTACTAACAATACTATACTCTACTTACAATTCAACACGTACATTGTTTGCAGAAACACACATCTACTTAAGTTACATACAATACAGGTTACTTACGGTGGTAACTCAAACATCCCTGGCCCCTATAATTAACAATTATTCCACAAGCACGTGTTGAACATGAAGATGGTAGATAGGTAATGAGGCACGTAGCCCCAAAGTTGGCAAAAATCATCTCATATCTAACAAAGGCGAATGGAATAACTGTTTTATTCAAATCGCCCCCAACATATAGAAAACTAAGATAAAATAAAAATAAAAACGCCCACAAAAACTTACGCGTGCGCTTGACCATATTTATAGAGCATGGTATAATGGCTCACATACCATGATGGCTAAGCCAAAGATAACTCTTGAATCACATTAACCAATGATCCAGCTTTTTACTACTATACGTTAACTAAGTACAAGAAAATAAAACATACCTCTACTCCTTTGGGGCCATTGAAACCCATTGCTCCTGCAACTCCCTGTGGACCCTGCGATAAAAAGTACACATCTCATTTTCAGTAACAAAACAAAGTTCTAGGCATATACTAATAGAACACCATCGTGTTCAAAGAGACCCCCCCCCCCCCCCCCCCCCCTTCTTGCAAGTTACATGTGCCCCTCCTTTAAGACTTCTAGGTTAGTGTCTTTGAGAAGAACACTGGTATCACTGATCATCCCATGGGGTTGACCGGGTGGACTAAAAGTATTTGTCAGGGCAGCCACAACAAATAAACCCCACTTCGGGGTTGGAGCGACCATTAAAGTGTTCTGACGTTGACCAGAAATGTGCCTCAAAATTTGATTTTCCTCGGATTATCAGCAAAAAAGGAAAACACTGATAACTGCTTTTGCAAAATTTTGCGGCATTTTGTAGAAAAATACATTTTCAAAAGCAGACATGTCACCTTTATCCTAATACCATTCTTCAAGCCGCTTGAGCTCACCAATTAACCAAATGCCTGGAAAAGGCTAAGGTGCAGTTCATACATTGCATTTTTGCCATGCCATTGATGCAAGAATCTGCTGCTGATTTTCTGCCACATATTTGACTGGTCCAACAGCAATGCTGTTGCATTTCTGCTTAATTGTTTAATCGTGGTTAGTAGAGGAGACTCCACTACTACATGTAACTATGGTTGAATCTAATACTGACATTATGTTTGTGGATGGAATGTAGGACGTTCTGTTGGTTTGCACATTGCTCAATCCCATGGGATAGCTGCTGATGCCTGCATTATATTGTGGATGATTTTGATCTTGCATGTGGAAACGATTTGTTTCTTTCATGCCAGGCTTGACCCTGGGGCAGTAAACCACTCATGAACCAATATATTTTTTTTTGCAAATTTGAGAAATGGATAAATTATGAAATTTATCTTCTTTATAATCCCTGGGCATACATAATTATGTTTGCCAGGGTCTTTGAGTGGCCTTACTCATAATGGGATCACCTAAAGACAGGGAGGCTTCTAGCCAGATGGGCATCTACATATACACATCCACTTTGTTGTGAAAATTTTTTGTTTTCATGTTGCTTTGTTTGAGCTGAAACCATGTACCGAATTCTAAATGCCCACTTTTCAAATCCTGGGTAAAAGCCGGTCTAAAGATGCCTTCTGCTCTTTATTTTGGGTGTAATGTGTGTTATATCTGTTTTGTGGTTGCCAGGATTACAAAAACCCCCTGACCTTGAGTCTTGTTCTAAAATGTAATTACATTTCTCCACTTAGCCCTTCAGTGACCGAGAAGTTGCCAAACAGAAGTGGAACAAAGCCCCCAACAACACAAGAATAAGGCGAAGAAAAGACTGATCAGGAACATCACCTTCTTCTTGATAGCCTGCGGCATTTACCAGGAGTTTGTGCCCCACAAGTCTGACTTGCCTCCAACTTTATTCCAATTTATGTTTCATTGGTAATGCTAATGAATCTCAGTCGGAACTAACAAGAGGTTACCAAGACCCCCGATCATTTTAGTCAGCAGAACAATGCAAGTGGCAACTACCAGAGTAACATAACTGGACATCCTTTTAATTAGTGCACAATCTCTAATAATTGTCATTTCCTTTGAAGAGCTCAGACTTATCCAGTAAGCACAGTAAGTTCCCGTTGGAGATCTTATGGTTAATCTTGCATTGCTTTATTCTACATTTACCACAGAGGGTCTGACTAACAAATTGGAGGAAAAAGGGTAACTTAGCTGAGCATAGTGCAAAGCATGATGAGTGAGCAACCTAATTGTTTCTCTTTACCTATTTGTGGACAAAAAACCCTGCTCTTTGCTTGCCCATTTTACAGGCTTGACTCTCGTGCTGGAAAGCAACTTCATAAGAATAATTTACATCAGTTATCTGTATTCACCTTTTGAAGTACTCTCAGGCCTCTTCCTTGGAGACCCTGCAAGGAGACCCCTATTTCATTAAATATTGTTTTTTTTTTTTTGTGCAGAGGAAACTGACCAGAGATGTCAAATATATTTTCTGGGTTCCTATTCTTATTTATGTTATTTTTTCATGTGTACTACAGATGTCTTGCACCCCTTTTGGCAACATTTCACGTGCAATACTAAATCCATACAAAGGAGGAAAATATTTCCCAGCGTGATTTTGTTGGTGCGAAATGGACGGAATAGTTTTCCTTGGCCACTGCTTATTGGCATTCATAATACAAGTTGTATTTTTCTTTTTTTTGTGAGTATACCTGTAAGTTTCATAAAGTTAACAAGTTTGGTGTCTATAAACAGTTTCAGTCATTGTAAATTAGTAATATCATTATTAGCTGCCAGCTAGTAGTTTAGTACTAAACATGTTTGTGTTAAGTTGTGTACAAAAGACATTTTGAACATATTACTTTCTTGCATTGTAGAATAAAACATAGTAATTAAACACTCTCGAGTTGGTAAAGGTCACCAAGGGATAATATGGGTCTGCTCTTATAGTTGGTATGAGGAGGATGGCAACGGCATCAATTAAGTGTGCAATCAGGGGGCTGCCTACTGATACATTATTGGAACGGCAGGGGAGCAATTAAAAATAATTTTAGTGTAAGTTCAGTGTTTATCCCAGACCAGAAAATGGAATTTCCTTATTGAATGGTGTTTGTACCCATTTTTTCAATGTAAAGGTTAAACTACTGGCTGCAAAAACTGCAGAAACAGTGACTTAGCAATCGGAGCAGAACATGTTTTCACCAAGTTGAGGTGCATTATACATGTAGACCACAGAATGATGAATTTCAACTAAACAAGGCAAGTGAGACTGGCTTGAATCCCGCCACGTTCATTCTGGTGCAGTCACAATTGTCGGAAAATGGTTGAGGTGCAGTGCGACACACTCGTGGCTATGATCAGAGACTAGAAGTGAGTGAGAGGCATGATGTGCTGCTATGTGTGATGGAAGGGTTGAGAATTTTACTTAAAGCAAACTTGCACCAAATAGGACACTTCGACAATCTGTTTAAGCCTGGCTTAACCAAATTACAGGTAAAATGAGTCCCATTTACAGGAATTCTAATTAGCAATCATTCACAATCTGGTATCTGGTATCATCCCGCCTGTTAACAATGCATCTTCCATCTCCATTCATCACCCTTGTACTTTCCCAAACAACAACAACATGTAGGACACTGTTCCAAAACTTGACACAAGCCACATTTTCCAGTAAGCTGATCGTCCCCATTTAGTCGCAAGAAAGGGAAGTAATGCTGCCATCCAAAACACAAAGTAGGGGAAAGTTCTAGACCACGGTAACCTCCTTTTCCGTGGCACACCAGGCATTTTACCACCGTCATTATAGAACTTGTTTAGAATTCTGGAAAAGAAAAATCAAAAGAAACATTTTCTTATAAATCTGTAACATACATATTTTACCTTACTTTCTGACAACTGCCAGGCTACATGTTTAATGCACACAGTATTTCATGTAAATTTGCCACAGTTAAAAGGACTTCATTTTGATGTAATATATCAAACGCGATAGAAGTGTTTCATTGCATTTCTAAACACTGAGAAATAAGACACAATGCAGGAGAAATCAGTTTGAGAAGTCACAGTAAAAGAACATCAGAAATTGAGAAAGCCATCCGCCTTCTCATCAAGTTACCTGTCTTTTTGCACAAAGGTTTCATGAATCCAATCTTTTCTTCCTTCATTATCCTAAAATAAAAGAGAACTGTCAGCAATGGTTGAGTATCTTGCATTTACTGAAACGTGAAATACTTGAGTCAGGTAAACAAAGCTTGAAAGAAGATAACGTAGTGTGAAATGTTACTTGCCATTAGGATGAACATAAAATCAGTTATTAGTACATACCACACAAGTGAATAGTTCTGATTGGCTAGCTTCGAGGTGAATTAAAAAGTAGCAAGTACTTTTCACCTCTGAGCAAACAGAGAAAAACAACATGGCTTTCCGTTTTGCTTTGGTTACCAAGTGGCAAATTTTATCGATAAACGAAGCTGATTATTCAACTTGTATGGTGCGCACAAAAACAATTATTCACCTCAGTGTCGGTGACAGTGGTTGATAACTGTTAACTAATAACACTTGACAAAACTTGAAGCACTGACCTTAGGAATATCATGTGCCGCGTGCCTACGGCAGTACACATGGACTTGCTGACCACGAGAAACAAGGAAATCTAAAAGACAAGAAGTCAAACGTTACTCAGTAAAGGGTCTGAATTTAGGCCCGGTGGCCATATAATCCAGTACTCACCTCTGGTTTTTTTCAGTGGCATTAAGCGACTAGGAATATTTCTACTCTCCCTGGATGATGCTGGACTTGGTTACAATCACAATAACTGTTATTGGCACTTTTTGACATCACACAAGCTTACCTGTCATACTTGGGGCTGGTTTACGAGGCACAGGACTCTCACTCACATTGCTGTAGGCAATGGTAAGGTCATAGACTGCATCCAAATAGTCAGAAGACAAAACCTCAAAGCTGGCCTTAAAGATAACATGAGAGGAATCCATAAAAAATTAACACTTCTCCCATGATAATAATACCACATCAAAAATAAGCTTATCATAATTCTGTTAATATTAATCTGGAGACTCTATGGTGGCCAGTTCTTCAATTACATTGATGTAGGTCACAGTATATACTAACTTCAGTGGCTTTTGTTCTCGGGGTGAGCACGTGCGACAAGACTGGGAGACCTGTGGAAATAAAAAATAATGACATTATGTATTAAATAAAATCAATAGACTACCTAACTGCTGGCCAGCATTGGCTTGACTCAAACTTTGCCTAAATTACATTTAGCCCCATTAAACAGCTTGTCTACATGTTGTTAAAGGTGTTATCACTGCGATTTCCTGAGAGCAGAAGAAATTTATAAAATATTTGCACTGTATTTGCAAATTAAAGGGATGGTTTCACGATTTAGCGCATGACTGTATTATTTATTCACCTGTGCACACTTTTTGGCAAAGGCCCAGTCTTTCATTGTTTATGAACCAATTGTAAACAAGTTACCTAATTTTGCATGCAAATTGCCGTAAAAATATCAACCCTAGATTAAATCATATGGGTTGACACTAAACTGCTGCTAATTACAGTCCTTCGACCCAGCCTGTTAGTGTTTCAAATTATTTACTTGGTTTTTATGAAACGCTTAGTCTGAATGCTGCTGACAAAGAAATACTGTAAGTTAGATTATACACTCATATACGTACATACATACATAACTTTTTTTACAACAACTGCCTAATTTGTCACGTGCTGATTGGCTCATTTTTATCATTAATAAGAGTACAGATGAATAAAATTTTAATTTATGCAAGCTTTCAAATTCAACTTTCAGCGGTCAAACTGTCAACTTTTTAACCAATGAGATTTTATGGACTTTTTTAAGTAGCCAATCAAAAAGCGAGAAAAGCTATTGACAATGTCCCCATCATTTTGAATAAAATTCACTTATCTTTGTTTACAGCAAGTTTACGGCGTCTCTTCCCCTCATTTATTCCCAGCATTTGACAATTTTGGGGTCTTGTTATTGTAAAAAAACAAATTGACAAATTTCATCATAACATTGTCAAAGTTTACTGCAGAACCACTCGCCTGCGGCTCGTGGTTCCACAGCCACTTTGACAATGTTATGATGCAATTTATCATCAATAAGAGGACAGACGCATTGAAAACTGATGTCGATTTGTTAAATTTTGACCCGAATTTACAGGTTGCTAAAAAGCTAATATCTTTGAGGAAAATAAACATTGTAAATATAGAAACAAAAGGTACTACTACTAACAATTATGTTTGGCTACAATATATACAATAAATAATTAGTGTAGTAATCAGCAATTACACCTGAAAGGAGACTGTTTTTACGAGGTGTTTAACACCAGTTAAAGTAGGTTCCATTCTAAAGTTCTCAGGTAGAGAGTTCCAAGTTTTGCAAGCAAAATACTTAAAAGAGTGAAGACCATAAGAAGTGGAAGCAGGTTTATATCTCTACAAATTTGGAATTAAAGATGGCTGTTGCAAAGTCTGCTTTTGTAGGTCTCATTGACTCAAAGGCTATTGCTAAATGTAACAACATTTCACCTTTTTCAGATGCAAATTCTTGACTTTTTTCAATCACTGCTGTGTTGTTTACATTGTATCGTGTGCCCTCAGGAAAAATGACCAACCACATCTACAGAAAAAAACAAATTACTTGTAATCATTTTTATCCCTAAGATAGCATCATTCTTCAAACAAAACTATTTGAAACATTAACATATTGTCAGTAATAATTAAATTTACTAGACAAATATATAAGTATATAGTAGTCTAAATTAAACACTAAGAAAACACTTGTCGTGCATTTTCTAAATTGGCTGAGGCCAGATCCTAATTTGTTTCCCTTAGTAAGATATTACCAGGTATAAATAAAATCTTTATTCTCAAACGTTAAGCCTAGATTTACTATAAATGTAAAATGATACTCACAGGCATCTGCTGAGCCTTCATTTCTGCAAGTTTCCTAAGAGGAGAGTTTTGAAACAACATAAAAAGTGTTTACTATGTAGACATTACACAGAAGTGTATTGTTTGGTCTTGAATTCTATGTACAGGGTATGAAATTAGTGACTTTTATATTTTTTGATTCCTTTTAGTGTCATTAACTGTTTTAACCAATATCTTTTTTTCATATTTCTATAGTTTTTCTACATGTTAGTTTTATTATAAGTTTGTTCAACTGGATGTGATGTACAATGCTTTTGAATATGTTTATAATATTAGTGCTATTAATATAAATTTATTTCATGACACTTGACTTCTTTATTACATACACATACCTTGCAATATACTGTTTATCTTTTGCTCCACTTCTTTTTACATATATACAAGCATGCTATCAAACAAAAATTATAAAGATTAATAAACAAACTGCATAAATTTCACAAAGTCTGGAAAAGGGAACAGGATTGAATGTAAATTCTTATTGTCTGTGTTTTTTTAGCTTTACATTGAGCTAGGAGCTATAAAACTGTACATTACTGACTCGCGCAAAATCTGAAAAAGAGAACATAAAAAAATGCCATTGATTGAATTAAGTGATTTGGAAATGAATGGGTTGGTCAAAAACTACGCTAGTGGGAAATTTGTGTGAATTCTTTTTGGTCCTCAAATGTGGCTGAAATTTTAATAATCTTTTTCTACTAAAGACTTGACTGCAGGTATGATGTAACAAATATTCGGTTTAATTTCTAAAGTCAAAACTAAAATAGGATAATATGCTATTATACAATAAAGACTTATAACTGCACATCATCCAGTGATGCAGAATACAAAGCACTAACAACAATAAGAAAACACTTATAATGAGTATGGCCACCGAAAATGACTTTTGCCAAAAGACAGCTACCTGGGCAAAGTAAAAGCCATACAGTGGTAAATATTTCAGTCCATTCTTCAGAATGTATCTAAGTCTTCCCAGTGAGCCCTGTCTGATGGCCAGGAAATCTGAGACAATCCAGTCCACTATAACAATTGTACAAAAAATACAATCAGCATTGAACTGAGTTCCTCCGTCATCCTTGCTGCCAAATATTTTCATAAATCCAAGTGTTGAATACACAGCAGACACAGGGCTAGAAAAAAGTGCCGTCCGGTTGTCCGGTACAAGTAGATTTTCCTTCTGGGCAAGTACCTTTTCACACTCACTTGCCTGATGGGTAAGGGATCAGGCAAGTGGTCTGCCAACTAAATCATTAACAGAACAAACTAAGACTTGCCCAGGGCAAGCAAAAATTTAGAGCTACCTGTCCCAAGGGCAAGCTGGAATCAAGTTCTTTTTGAGTCCTGAGATGCATTATACACATTTCCCTTATGAGAAGTCCATAATGGCCAAGTCATTCCCTCTATGGTACTCGCCTGTAGGGAATCATGGTAGTTGTATTCATCATCTTGGACTGGATAATTTTTTTTTGATGAATACAACAATGTCTTATTCCCTGCAGGCATGCCTCATAAAGGAAATTGGCCATCATAACATTATATGGTTTATAATCAGAACTGATCTATATTTAACCATAAGTTACCTGAACTTTGGTGATTACATATTACAATCACATTTTCCTGTTTGTCCCATGGAATTTGATCACCATAAAAGATGACCTACCAAAAAAATATTATTTAGCAATTTATTATCTAGTCATTTGCATTTGAAAAGACTCCCCTGCATTAGCCTCACTTGCAAGCTAGTTCCAGTCCAATACTGAGAATACGAATATGGCCTAATGCACATACACAAAGACCAGGAGTGCAGCAACAAACTTGAAAACCAGCTGGAACAGGAGATTGCATTGATTTGTGTTCCTGGTTTTATTGCATACCCTTGCATATAAATGTTATGATGATGCTGCTGAAATCCCAGGGGAGGGGGGTACTTTGGGAATTTCTGGGTGGGGAAGTGTCGCTAGGACCCTGGAACCCTTAGCCTATACCAGAGCTAGTTCAGCTGAATTTTGCTACCCTATACTAGAGTAAACTCCCCAAATAACCCCATCTATCGACACGGTTTTTGCTCATTTGCATAAATTTAAACTTGCCGATTTGATTTTTTATATTATTGAGTGGCAATTCCTGGTTTCCTTACTCTAGATGAAATCTTCAACCAACTAGTCAGTTTTGTGAAAAATTATACCCTATTCTAGACCCAAACGCTCTGATTTATATACCCTATCCTAGAGTAAACTGCTTGAAGACCATACCCTTCACAGCGGCACATACCTATATAGCCCATATATGGCAGTGCCCCCCTCCCCCGCCCTCCCGGGGGCTGAAATTAGGAGTATACCATTCCTCCAAATGAAAGGGTTAAAATCATGTTGTACCTTTGCTTCATACTCTGCATACTCAAGTATTTCATTTAGCTGCTTCCTGGGCCCATCACTCTCAACCCACAGGTAACATTCTAACAACTAGACATCATTTAAAGGTGACCTGTCCCAGCTCCTGCAGCCTCCCTGTTCTGATCGCCAAGGTTCCGCCTACTCCCGTCTCTCCTCCCTCGCCCCACCCCAACTACCATCTCACACAAATTCTTGCTGTCTGTTCCTATTCTTCTACAAACAACGCTGCCAGGGGCAGTCCATTACATTTCAAGGATCAGAAAATATGTAAAACTTCGCTACTCCTTAAGTTAGCGTAAGACTCGGGTTGACCATAAGGTCGACCATACGCCTCGTGGCAAAAGGCCAAAAGTTTTTACGTGGAGCAAGATTGAAGTCGCGCCTAATACCACACAAAACCAACAATAATATCTATTTTAAACCTGAGTTCTGTTACCTCCGCTCCAGTGCACGTCTCAAAGAAGAAGCAGACGAGTGATTGATACATGTCGTACATGAACTCATCTCCGCGCTGGAAAACTCGACGAGGCAATGGCAAAGAGGCAAGTCGCCATGCGACCCAGGTCAAAAGATACTGAGGTGCTACCCCCAACACAACAGCAGCTGGGCCAACATAACGTAGCAGCTGGATGTGACTCAATGCAGTCAGCATAGTTTCAATAGAACTCAATAAATTCGCAAATTTTGCAAAATAATTTTAACGTGTTTTTTGCGTGCGGGTTTTAGTGTCCGCCATTTTGTTTTAAAATGCGAGGTACCCAAGCAGATAGCTGATTTTTACCCCGGGGGGAGGGGAGGGGGACTCCCGCTGAAATTGTTTTTATCCCTAAGAGGTACCAACACACTATCTCCTGTTATTATTTTTTTTGGCTCATTGGCCTAAAAGGTTCTGCAGAAGCTCCTTTTGAGGCGGCACCCCCCTAAGAGGTACCAAATCCGCTTTTTTAACCCTAAAAGGTACGACGAGCAACTCCGTCCTTTTTATATGGGAGTCCCCCTAAGGGGGTTTTACCTGCAGTGAGGTGAGGTGCACACAGTCTTCTTTTCTCATAATTGTTTGATTGACTGATTGATCGTTTGATTTTTTCATTGATTGACTGATTGAATGATTGTTTGTTTGATTGATTGATTGATTGATTGATTGATTGACTGATTGATTGTTTGATTGATTGATCGACTGATTTTATTAATTGACATATATTGTTCTTGGACCCTCCGGAGAAGGAATTATTTCTTTTTAGAGCGAGTTTTGGCTAAATTTTGGGTAAATTTTTTTTATCTTAAAGCCCTCTGCCTTCATTTTGAGAGAATAAGTATCCCATTTATTTCATGGCAATACTCTAATTGTGGCGTTAAGAAATCTCTATACCTACCCGACGTATCCGAGAGATTCCCTTTTATTTTTTAAAAGTGAATCTCTGTCCGCTCGCAGTACTTCTCAACCCTGGGCCTCTCAAGGACGTTTGAACGCAGTGGACGCTGAAATAAAATATGACTGTAGTGACGACATGCTGCGTTTCGCATTAGAAAGCTCTTTCTGGTGAAACGACAGCATGTTTTATTGATCTTTTCACTAAATTAAATCTTGCACAAATTCTGTCTGAGCAGCGAAATTCTGCTCGGCTACTGCTTCTGTAGGTAACCGAGCAGATTTTCACTGGGCGTAAGAAGGTTGTCATGAACTGTAGGGTATTCATCACCGACCGCTCGATAATCCAGAGGCGAGCGCATTAACCATGAGGTCACTGCGCCTACACAGACTCGCTCTGAAGTACTGACAAAATTGTGTTTGGAGACCTTGTCCGGGATTCCTATCATTGTTGTTATTCTCAATTTTTTTTTCTGCGTTTCAAGAGGACTGTATTCTTGGAAACTCCGACTATTCAAATGAGTCAGTAGAGCTTGAACTCATAATTTTATTGTGTGATCTTGTTGCACGTTCTGAGCCGTGCACTGGCAAAACTACTGTTACGTATTAAAGCATTAACTTTCGACAATTTTAAGTTTCTTTATTACTATATTCAAACTCTGGCATAAAGACTGCATTTAGTGGATTGGTAAATTACAGTCATGGACAAAAATCTTTGGGACACTGATGTAATGCAACGAATTATCTGTGTTTTACAACTGAAGTTTGAAAAAGCATTGCTATCCTTTTAAAACGCGTTGCTGCCCCCCCCCGCCTTCCCCCCTCCCCACTCAAAACAATGTTGAAAGTAAGGAGAAATATTACGGGTACTAGTTTCCAACATTGTATGTGGAGTGGGGGGTGGGGCTAGGCGGGTGAAGTTGTATTCGCGTCTGGCCTGTGTGCAAAAGCGCTAAAAGTGCAAATTTGTCTCAAGACTTTTGTCCATGATTGAAGCTTTGTAAAATATCTCTGTCTTTCAAGACATCAGCTTTAGGAGTAACAACTATACGATAGAAGCCGTATTCACGAAACACTGTCGAAACTTCCATCAGCTGCAACTGGACTTGGTTCGGTGTTCACGAGACTCAGTAGTTGGGGCCTGAAAAGGAAAAAAAATGAGTTTATATGAAAGAAAGGAACCTTGAAAGATAGTTAAGGTGTCGCCAGTTGTAAAACCGACAGGGGATGGTAATTTCCTGTAATTTCCTCAGAAAAAAATCCTGAAGAAAGAAAGCAACAACGTTGTATGCTTTACGATGATGTGAAGTTTATATGAAATAATTCATATATGAACTGCGGTTGTAGATGAAAGTGAAGAAAGATCATCGCAGTTAATTTTCCAATTGAAGCAATTGAAAAGAAGAAGCCTGAAGAAATCAGGGCTTCAACGGGATTCGAACCCGTGAGCTCCGCGATACCGGTGCGATGCTCTACCAACTGAGCTATGAAGCCACACNTTTCAGGCTTCTTCTTTCCAATTGCTTAAATTGGAAAATTAACTGCGATGATCATTCTTCACTTTCATGCTTTACGATGTTAAATTTTTTGTGAAGACTTATGAATAAGTATGTTTTTTTTTTTTGAAAAAGCAAAGTGGTCTAAAGCATGCATTTGGTATATGATTGGGGACAAGCCTATACGAAGCGTTCTCGGCTCAGAGCGAATCAAGGGCGAGTCCTTTGTGTATAAGGGTGTCGTCACGGAAAAGCACTCTCCCACTCCTTCCCAGACTTCGCGCGGACAGGGAGAAAAGCGAACGTCTAAGACTGAACAGGATGGTTGGAGACTTTATAGGGTTTTCGTTACCTTGACAACCACGACAAGTAGAGTAGCAATTTGTTTTCATATAATAGGTACTCTCCCAAGACCCTGTGCAGTATCCACCTTCTTTCCACTCACTGCATTTACTCGAGGGCTGGAGGTCAGGCTTGCAGATTTCTGCAAACGAGTTGATATTCATGCTACTCTTTAGTTATTTAAGCTGATACATCTATTTATCTGTCGATACCAAGAGACCGTGATGTCGATACACATTTTCTGTTATCACTGTAAGAGGGTCCGAAAGAAAAAGTTAAGACTGCAAGATAAACAACGGCGTAAAACTCTCTCGGGGTCTGGCGTTCAACTAGCATTTTTACCGTATTCGAACTTTAAAATGAATTTCGTTTATAGCAAACAGAACGTTTTTCAGGAATTGATGTTTTTACAGTCAGTTTTATTAGGATACAACTGGCACCTAACTTTTACAAAAAGGACTGGGGCGAATAAAGAGAACGCGAGCGGTGAAAACTTACCGGCACTCAACGAAATGTGGAAACAAAGGAAAAACAACACAACAATAGCGTGATGCATTCTTCGCTTTATAATCTCTGAAACTAAATAGTAGATAAAACCAGTTGGTAGATCGTATCCTTTAACACAACTTATATTATTTTTAACTACTAAAATGTCCATGTTCGACAGGAAAATTTGCGTGACTAATTAACTAGTCCACGTAGTAATTTGTTAGACCTGACCAAATGTAAGCGTGTTGCGATCGATCAGCTTTCTACGAAGAAGTTCCTTTGTTACTGGCCCAAGGCATCACAAAACGTAATGTGCTTACGTTAACTACTGCTGAAGTTGTTCAGTAACTTCTGTTAGATCTAGAAGGCTGCCCAAACACTAAGTAGCTTAGAATATTCGCGCAGTTTCATTTTAGCATTTTTGTCACATTAATTTCCCTTTTCTCCTATCCACTCGCTGCTAATCAGGACCAATCAGTTCTTGTTAGTTTTCTGTCAGTTATCAAGAGTAAACGTAGAAGATTTTTATACTTACCTGAAAGCTAAACGATTCTACGGTCTCTTTGCCGCCTATATTGGCCAGACTGGTTAAACACCTCTCGCTTGATGTCAAGCTTATCTGTATTCGCTTTAACATTTAAATTGTTTAACATATTTTACGAATAACTGCAAGTAACCAGGTTACCCACATACTTTATTATTTTCAAAAGGAAACGCATGTATCTAATTAGACTTTCTCTAAGTCCTGCGTCACGATCATTTTTCGTTTTCTGAACTCGGCTTTCGCAGCTTGACCTGTGAGCAAGTTCAGTAATTAATGGGAGGAAAAAAACATACATGCAGTTGTGCAAGAAATTTCCTTCGTAGTTTAAACTCACGCGTCAACAGAAATCATGATGCTCACTTATAGCATGTTTATAAAAGGCTTGCTTTCCAAGAGATCGTCTGTAAGTCTATGTATCGATCAAGACGAGACATCAAAAGTCCCCCACCATCGGCCATACGCGGGCACCTGACCACTGGATGCGCCCCGGTGCCGGAAATTTAACGTCAGTGGTCGATATATAGGAGGGGGGGCGGTGGGGAGATTTGACACTGTATATGGGAGGATTTGTATAAGTTGACCCCTGTTCATGGTTGCCTGCTTTCAGAGATCTTTCAGTCTCCTTAATTCAAAGAACTAGGATACACTTTCACACAGGCTAGTTCTATGATAGCTTGTAAAAACTGTAGTCCTACACTTTCACGGCCAGAAGCTTCTGTCACGGCATAAAGATTAAATTCCAATTCGGTGCTAGACATCAACAAACAAAACGAGAAAACAAAACCCCGATACAACCAACCTCCCAAAAGCACGAACGAGTACTGTCTCGAAAGAAATTTTCAAGGCTTTCTCGTTCGGAAAGAAAGGAACAGGTTCAACCCCACAGCTCGCTTTCTTTATCTCGTGGTTGTGCACCATGGCAAAGTAAAAGCACAAGTTTAATACATGATATATTTAAAAAGTTGACATATTTAACGAAGTGTGCAGAACATGGAGCACTGTTCAACATATTTCTATTTAAAATCACCTTCAGTATATACGGTCTCCTCTGTCAAAACAATCATTTGTCAACCATGAAATCAAACAATATTTCTTGGATCAAACACACCACCTATACGATATTTCTCACAAGATTTCTCTCTCCGAAATTACGGCTCTTTGTAATACGGAATTGAGCTCAAGAACTGATAGCAAATATAACTGATCTATTTTTTTTCTCAGAACAATGTTTGTGAAAGGTCTATGGCTGTCAGCTATAACATGTAGCGTCAAACAAATGAAGCTAAATCTTGAAACACGTGGAGTTTTGGATTAAAATAGTTGCATATACTAACTAGCAATCATGCTAATCTTGACACGACAATTACAGGTTTAAGTCCATATCTGCCTCTATACAACAAGCCTAGCATACAGTTACAACTATAGGGAACACTAAGTCGTATCAAAATCCCCCAAATGGGTCTCTATGCGTTTCTCTATTATAAAGTAGCGTTTTTCCTCGAATGGTATCCGGCCGTTTGCACCCCCCCCCCCCCCCCCCCCCCCCCCCCCCCCCCCCCC